CCCAGCCAGCATGCTGGCTGGGGAATTCTAGAATTCAAACCATCTTCTGGCTAAAAGGGAGGACCTGGTTGCTGCAGAAAATACTTAGGTTGTGACTGGACTGTACCCTCTCAGCCCAACCCACCTCACAGGGTTGTTGTTGTGGAGAAAAAAAGGAGGAGGAAGGTGCAGAGGTATGTTCACCGCCTGGAGTTATTTATCAAAAATAATAAAGGCGGGAGAAAAATCGAAGAAATAAATAGGGAAGAAATAAACAAACTCCCCCACCCTGTTTTAGCCAAGCCCAGTTGTGCCAACTCACTGTTGTGTTCAGCTCCTCCTTCCAGTCGCGCCTTCGTGGGTGTGTAAAAGGACAAGGGTTGTGCAACCTGGGAGGCAAAGGTTACGGGAGAGGGAGAGAAAGAGAATCGGAAAGATTTCGGTGGCACCTTTTTGGGCGCACCCCTTTTGTTCGGAGGCGCCAGCTTTGGGGAGCTGCGGCCCGCTGCCTCGGAGGCCTCTTCCTAAACATGATTAGTTGGAAAAGGTGCTCCCGAAATCCTAATTTTTGTTTTTGGACTACGGTAGACAAACATGGTTCTCCTTCGAGAGAGGAGAAAGGAAAGACGTGGGTTTTGGACTCCAAGGAAATTGGGCACGGAATAACAAATAATAATAATAATAATAATAATAGCTAATATCCTACGACAATACCCTGAACACCATCAACTGACCACATCTGGCCATCCCAGGTCCTTGGGCAGGACTCGATGGGTGGATAAAAAGGCCAAATCCAGCCTCAACATCTGGATTGTGCAACCCACAATAACACTAATCCTACCTGGAAGTTATTTAAAGGTAGAAAATCTCATCGGTACCAACCTGGGCATTGTTCCCAATGTACAGAGCGAGGGAGATCGAACAAGAGGTCGTGCCGAGTGTGCGTTGCACAACTGCTCCCCTCTCGATAACCCTCCCCTTTCCTCCTGCCCCCCAAATCCCCCAGGTGGGGGTGACGTCATCCCCACCCCACCCCAGATCTCTTGCTTTCTACGTGGATCCTGAGTGGCGGCTGGGAAAACACGTCCCCGAGTGTGTGCGTCTTTGGCCGGGAAGACGAGGCATCGACGGTGGTGGCATTTCAAAAGCGGCCACCAGGCTTCAATGATCGAAAATCCGAAATCCACGCTGGGAAACCGCAGATCCCCTCTAGTTCAAAGCACCCCCAGCCCCCTATCTTCTTCCCCATAAGGGCAAAATCTCCGATCGCCGTTTTGCCCCAGATGTGAAATCTAGTGTGGATCGGTCCTGTTTTCTTCTGCCACCCCCGGACTGTGGAGACAGTGACTTTTCTCTTGCCCCGCCTCGGTTTCCCTTCTTACCTGGTTGACCTGCAGTGCTCGATGGACGTCGGAGTGTGCGAGGGGCGGCTGTCGTTCTTCCTAGCACCCCGTCAGCCCGCTTGTTCTTTTCCCCAGTGACTTTTGGATCTCCGGGGTGGGGGGGAAGGATCCAGAATAATTTGATTTGATAAGAGAGGGCACCGTTGTACTTTGCCCTTGGAGCGGGCAGGAGAGGACGGTGGCTGCCGGCCCGCGGGCGGAGGGTTGGTGGGGAGGGAAGGGAAGGGCACCCAGCTGGAGATGGGGAGATGAGAAGGAGGGCTGGAGGCCACCCAGACCCCACGGCACGGACGCCAGGTTGCTTGGGACTTGTGAACATTGGACCAAATCCCTGCCTCTTTTAACATGTAGGCATGGAACATACTCTGCACCGGTGGGACAGAGGAAAAGCTGACTCGGTTGAAGTGCTGCCTGGCATGCCATCGTGGGGAAGGTTATTTGCTCAGACCAAGCAGAGTCTGAGATCGGACGCCACCAGATGTGCAGAACTACAATTCCCATCAGCCCCTTCCCCACGGACCAGCTGCGAGGGAGAGGCCGTTCGGCTGCATCCGGAGGACCCCAGACCGCTAACCTCTTCCCAAACTGCTCTTGCAAAAAAAGACACTTGTTTTTAGAACTAAAAAAAAAAAAATCACATTTCTCAAGTAGAGATGTTTGACCCGCCGGATGGATTTGCAGAAATTTGTCATGAAAACCGAAGCTAATGAAAGAGATCTTAATACAAGCGTGAGGGAAAAGCACAGGGCAGAATGAACCCATGATTATTGATAAGTATAAAATATAAAGTAATTTTTTTCCTCTTTTCTAAGCATGTGGAGTTGTCTCTTTTCTTTCTTCTAATCTTTTTTTTTTAGTTTAAAGATTTGTTTGGTTAATGACGTCCGTATAAAACTTTTAGAAAAAGGAAGAAGGGGAAGAAAAAGAAGGAAGAAAATTCAGATTGTTCTTTAATCCCTGAGGCCGGATTAGTACCTCCACTAGTTAATGAAATGGTGTGTTTAGTTAATTTATCTTGCACAAGTCCAGGCTGGGCTGATCTATTTTTTCAGATTTCCCCCTCGCCCCACTTGGGGGTATTGAGGATCGTCAAACAAATTGTCATCTCGGTTCCTCCGTGAGTCCATGCCATGTTTGAGTCAAGCTTAGCTTTCTTCTCCGGAGCCATCTTGGCAGGCCCAGAATAGAAGACCAACATTAAACCCAAGATGGTTAGCGATGGGCCTGGATTTACTGGTCAAAATTCCCCGGTTGGGATCCAATCAGTTCCCAGGTAGGGTTGGAAAAATTCCAGTTTGCACCCTGGATTCTGTGGCTCGTACCAAAGAGATGATTTGCACCTTCCCATTATACCAAACCTTGGTACAATGTTTCTCAGCCTTGGCTGCTTGAAGATGTGTGGACTTCATTTCCCAGAATTCCTGGCTGGGGAATTCTGGGAATTGAAGTCCACACATTTTCAAGTGTCCAGAGTTGAGAAAAATTGCCTTAGCATGTTGAGAAGCCAGGATTGGCTAAGAGAGACTGTCTATAGCAATGTTTCTCAACCTTGGCCGCTTTTAGGAGTGTGTGCCTTCACTCCCCAACATACCGGGGTGGGGACTTCGGGGATGGGGAG